ATATATATATATATATATATATATATATATATATATATATATATATATATATATATATATATATATATATATATATATATATATATATATATATATATATATATATAATATTTGCTGTGGCAATGGAAACAGCCAAAAATGGGTATTTGAAAGGGGGGGCAACCTAGGAATTCAATGAATTATGCACCTGGTTTCTCTTTTTTGTCCTAAGACAGCACCAGTGTTGACCAAAACAAATATAATTGTAATTATATATATATATATATATATATATATCAAAAAAAATATACCCCTGCAAGAAAAAGCTCACCAAATCCATTTTCTTTCAAAACCTTCCAAGAGTTGGTGACGTACAATTGATTGTGATCAATTCACATGCAGGGGTACTTTTGTCATTTCACAAGCATTAGATACACATATAAAATCTTAGATACAGATATCATGATCAACACACGGGAAAAAGTATATTACAAATTGTGGCCAAGTATATATATATCCTATCTATTTTTGCCTCATTTTCCCCATTGTTTCATTCAATGGTAATAAATTCTTTCAACAAACACCAATGTTTGTTTTCACATGAGAAACTTAATAAATATGACACACTAGGTCGATCGACGGTCAAACAATGGGTCGTTTGGTTCGTTTCTAACTACTGCTTTCAATTTTCTATAAATCAAATTTGCCTGCGTTCCGTGTGTATGTAAGCTTAATAAGAAAATTCATAGAAGTGGTCACAAATACAGACCCATCGTCTCTGATTTTTTTAGAATTATTTCACGAAAAGCGAAAAAATACAAACATAAGTAAATATTTAATAGATTTTCATTTAAATCGCGAAAAAGTTGAACCATATATAATATTTTATATTCTATATAAAACTTATTTTGTGCTTCAATATAAAATAGTTAATGTGATGTTGCTTAATTTACTTTAAATCTTATAAATATGTGTTTCTATCTTCTATACCTTTTCACTTTTAATTTGTAAAAAGAGAAAAGATAAATTAGTTAGGGGTTCTTTACAATAACATAAATTTTCTATAACCAATGTTTTTTTTTAGTTTCTCCCAAGAGTCTATGAGTTGCCCAATTATTATTAGTAAAGGCAAGTTAAACTTTTATAACAAAATTACATTTTATATATCCTTTCAACACATCCATTTCAAAAATTTGAAACATTAATCTAATCTTAATTTCTTTATTTTTCTTCATTGATCGTTGACCAGCGTTGACTTTTTTTTTTTCCTCTTTTCCTTTTTCTTTTCGTTGTTTGTGTTCTCGTTGACCGATAGTGATTATTTTACTTTGTTGACCGCTATATATAACTATGTTGAATGCTATATTACGATGTTTGACATTTATATTATTTTTTTTACTGATCATTTTTGTTTTTCGGTTATTTCGATGTATTGTATTGTGTTGACATTATTATACTATTTTAACACTATTACAATATGTTTGACGGGGCAGTTGGATGGTCGAGGTGACAAAAAAAGGAAATTGATCGACGGTCAAAAGCGCTGAAAAATAAATAAATAAAAATTAATCAATGCTGGCGTTGATCGATCGATGCTGCTTAATGGAGGTCAACGATAGAAAAACGACCGATCAACAGTGATGAGTCGGTTGATGAGATTTGGGGTAAAATTATGGTTCGAATTATCAATTGGGTGTAAATAGATTAAATCAAAATAGTTAAGGGATTATTAGAAAGAAAAAAAAAAAAAAGTAATGAATTATTTTTTTTGGTGGGGGGTATTCTAGGTACTTAAGTATGTGGTTTAGAATTAGATTACAATAATTCGACTAAAGATGCTCTGAAAAAGAAATCTATAAAGTCTTTATGCAATAATGAGAAAGTCTCATAAATAATTATCCCCTTTTTTGTAAAAGTAGATGGAGTGAGTGTATTCATCTTAAATCAGTGGTGCATCGAGTGAACTCACCAAATTTAAAAAATAAACATAAAAGCTGCCACGGATTGAGCATTACGATTTACGAATGATAATATATGGGTCGATTATGGGTCGGGCTCGTCTGAATTCAAAATCCGCTACATGAAAAATAACGAAAAAAACAAACTTGTCTTAATTAACTTTAGCCTAAATTGGATATATTTCAACTCACAATCAAATTCAAAAAGTTCGATTTGTCATACTTATCTAACAAACATCGATGAATTGATGTACACTGCAAAAAATGTAACATAGACTTGACCAATTCATCGAGCGATGTGAGTCATTGTTGTTAAATCGCAAATCAAATTGTAAATCATTTTCCTAACTTTAGAAATCATAAATCGTATGAATCGTGAATAGTAAGAATATCATTTCTTATATAAAAAGTCATAACACTTCAAAAAAAATTATTTAGCAACGGTTATACGGTAAAAATAATTGCGAGTTGTAAACAAAAATTTATATCTATACTTGGGGTGTAAAGAAATATTTGTGTAAGCCTACTAAATATTTTCTAACTCATTTTTTGTTATACAATATTCTAGTAGAATTTTATAGTTTGATTTAAAAAAAAATTATTTAATTATATTTTATAATCATTTTTATTTAATTAATTTAATTTCAAATAAATAGTAAATATTATTTTTAACATAAAAAATAAGATACATTTTAAATCGTAAAAAATGACTGAATGGTAAAAATAAAATCATAAAAAATCATGGAATTATGTCAAATCGAATTTCTTTCAAGACTCAAATTGAAAATTCAAGAACTCAAAATATAATTGAATTTTTAAATCGAATCGTAAATGGTAAGAGTTTCATAACCATGATGTAAGTTATTAAACAACTCAATTAGTCTATATTTATTGTCATGTGCATGTTGAAAACATGATAAATGTGGTGATCTTATTAAATTCACAAGCTTATATTTTACTCTTTCAAAAATGTAATCATGTGTAGTAGTAGTGTTTGTGCCTAAAGCATGTGATTTATGGATGATGTCTCTACTCACTTAAAAAAAGAATCTTTATTTATTATTATTATTATTATTATTTAAAATTGAGTCTTCACAACAATCCAAAGAATTTGATAGCAATTTCTGGATTGATAAATCATGTATACCAATAATAATTAGTAATTATGATGATTATGAGTAATTATAGGAAGAATTAAGCCAACTTAACTTCTTTTAGCATTATAGTTCCATTAAGCTGGTTGGATATTTGGAGAACATAGTCTAATGGGCCTACATAACAATTATCAATCAATTGTTTACTAATTGCGAGTCCACCAACACAATATAAAGTAAGGCCTCGTTCGGTTACATATATGGGTGTAAACGAGTCGAGTTTAAATCGAGCTTGACTGTTTTGGCTAAACATTTACTTGAATTAGTCGAGCAAGGAAAGACACGACAGTGATGGGTCGAGCACAAAATGCTCTATACCAAAGGCGACCCCATACATGCCTAAGTGACTAGGTACAAAACTACTTACCAGGGGTAGAGTAGCTACTAATTTTATTAAATAGTAACATTGAATTGTCGTTTCGACTTTATCGCGAGCCTGATTTAGTTTGAATCTTGTCAACAAAACTACTTACCAGGGGTAGAGTAGCTACTAATTTTATTAAATAGTAACATTGAATTGTCGTTTCGACTTTATCGCGGGCCTGATTTAGTTTGAATCTTGTCAATCGAACATTTTACCAACTCCTACTATTTCATATGTGCAAACAGAATGTGATTCTTGCAAAATTGATTTGGAGTTTTTTTTTTTTTTTCTCTTCTTTTTAATTCAAATGTCCACGTTTCGTGACATTTGTCGTTTCTCTAATTATTCTACAAATAGCAATACGCAATTTTTTAATTTTTTTTATTACAAAAGATAATTACTGGTTCTCCAATTCTCCCGATATTCTGATTTACACTCTTCATATTGTTTCGGTATATATGCCATGCCCATGGTGACTTCTTTTTATTAGTACCAAAAAAATGGTTATATATATATATATATATATATATATATATATATATATATATATATATATATATATATATATATATATATATATATATGCCAATAGACAAATAAGAGAATATATTTTGCCATTCATTAATGATTTCAATTATAGAAGACCATATTTACATGTACAAAATAATAAAGGGTTGAAAATTCCTTTTATATTGCTTGTGCATTTTGGGGTGATGACAGCAAGCCGATATATAAATGCATGCAACTTGTTTGTACATAACCAATAATGGATTGTTTTATTTTAAATATTCATTTTATAGTCATATACACACACTAGTACACATATACTATGTGAATTGTGATATATAGATACGTGATGTAATCTAAATAATAATTGTCGAAATAGACATGCTCCAGTAACCCCAACTTCTAAATTAATTAGCAGTTCTATCTACGCAAAATCGGATAAATCTTTATTATTTATACACGCAAACACCCAGATCCGTATGTGCAGATCAACGATAAAAAGTCAAACAGTGTAATCTAAATATGTATATCTAGATAATATAAACAAAACAACGTCGGGCGATTGGGGGGAAAACGCACTATGAAATTACGGGTGTTCGAGGGCAACGACCCTGAATTTTTTCTTTTGGATATTTTGTAAACATCAACATAAGAAGGTAAGTATTTCAAATTATTTTAATTGAAAATAAGTATAATCTAAAATATATTATCATTATTATAATTTTAAGCTTAAAATTATATATATTTTTTTAGGGGGAGGGGTGTGAAATGCACTATATAATTTATAAATAAATATAAAAAACAATTAAAAAAAAGGCAAAATAAATTTCTTGCAGGGGAGGCAGCCGCCAAAGCAAAGCTTGGGTCCGCCCCTGCCAATCCTATTGATGGCTCTATCCGCCTGATCCAACGTGACAGTTTTTGCCGAATTTAACGGTTCAATTGATTGATAAATCCGACTTGCTCTCATCCCTAGTACCTTGTATTAAATATCGTATTAAATTATGGGATTATATGACATCTATCTAAAGATTATCATAATTAAAAAAAATTAAGATATAATTGAGGATAAAATTGTCTTTTCACTTTTTAGTCACTCTACAAAATTAATCACATGGCTAGATTACTACAATTTAATGAAATAGCAACTTTTATTGCGGAACTTCGCTTTTAATAGCGGAATTGAGTAAATACGAATCTCGTCAACCGAACGTCTCACTGAAATAGTAACATTTATTGCGGGACCTGCTTTTTACAGCCGGATTAAGTAAATACGAATCTCGTCTTACTAGCCCCTATTACCGAACTTAATATTGATAACCAAACGACGTCTTAATCATTCAAATTATTCATATTTCATGCCACACTAATAATGCAAAACAAGCCAATCATGTAACAAATTCACTAATTAAAGAACTAAAAGTTACAAACCACTGGATTAAAACTAGAACATCATCAATACAGTACAAGAAAATACAAACTAGAGCAGTATGTCTTCCTTGAGACAACATATAACAACATCAAATTTCGAAAAACCCCCACCAGAACCAAGACAAAGGTTTTCCTCTACATTGATCGACTTAGAAGAAAGACACGAGCATTGTGGTAAAAGGCATATTTACCTTGAGAAGGCTCTTTATAATCCCAATTTTTAATCGACTTTATTATTCTGCTCGACGTTGTTATTTAAGCCTTCTCGGAACTGGACCAGATAAAATATATTCTTTTGTTAGAAAAGGCATAGAATTAATAAAACGTATAGAAGAGTAATCAAATGACGATTATGTACCTGCTGAAGGACCTTCTTTTGATAGCGGTAACCCTGCAAGAATAAACCCAAAACAAACTAAAAATTGTGAAAAAACGCAATATTTTGAAGCGGAAAATATACCGTACTAAAAGAAAATAAAATGGCTTGGTGCTGACCTTGTCGGTGCCGTAAAGGTAATCACAGTAAGTGAATACTGATGCAAAATTACTTTGACTCTGTCCACCGACGTAATGGTGGTAATCATGGTAATCCGAACCACCGTAAAAAGGAATATACTTTGTTAGTGTCCAAGGGAAATCGTACCTGCAGAAGTTTTACAATTACAAATTGAAAAGAAAAATTATATATACAGAAGAAGAAAATGGAGGTGATAAATAAAAGCCTTCATACTTAACCCAACGGTAAGCACACTCTTAATTCAACGGAATATGACAATTTCCCAGATACTGTTTCTATATAAAGATGCCAACAAGTGACTACATACATACACATTAAACAAAGAACATTAATACTTCGGAGATTTTTTTAGAAAAAGGGAAGATAGTTCGATAATTGAGAGATTCGTATGACACAAACAACTTCTAGGTGAAAGCTTTCTCCATTCTGATACAAGCATTTCTCAAATCACTAATAAGTAGCATTATCCAAATAAAGATATAGAAACTATCTTTAACATCGAAAAATTAAAATCAAGACAAAATCATCCTAACATGCATTGGAGATCACAAAGCATTCTTGGTCTTTCTTTCAACACTAATCAGCACTTTTTGGGTCCGATGTCAAAAAATGCCTCTAGTAGGATTGCATAGCAGTAGACGAACATATAATTTTAAATTCCGACTCAACGATGATTTTTAACGAAATGTGGATAGTCTTTTAGTAAGTTCTATCCTTTCGCCTTATCATATAGAATGAAGCAATATATAGATTTGATATGATGTAAGTTGCTAGCTAATATGTTTATAATACTGCAAATAGTCTTAAATGGTGATCAGTAACCAGTAGTTACAGTATCATGAACCAGTGGTTACGGTAAAATTGTTCGACATGCCTGATGAGCAACAAATCAATAATTGCTCATTACATATTTCATCTTTAGTTATTATGTGTCAAATGTTTCAAACGTAAAAACTTGTCCAAACGGTACTTGATCAAATAGTCCCAAGAAACTAAAGATTTATATATGTAGAGAAAAAACCCTCCTACAGAGATCGATGATCTAAGTCTTCATCTTCAACTTATCACCATTTCAGACCGACCTCGACAAAGATAGACGGTACAAGATGAAATTGTACACCAGAATATGTTTTCTGGGGAATGTGTATCGTATTACTTTACTAATACTGTCTTTAGAAAAGAAATACGTTGGGAAAAATAGGAGGTCGTGTAAATCTCACAAGAAGGAATCACTAACTAGACTTAACTTTACTAAAGTACAACACAATTTTTAAAATAAATGACCCCCTTTAAGAATTAAAGAAATAAAGAGAAGAATAACAAATTGAAAAAGAAAACGAAAAGGCATATGGAAAAGAAAGAAGAAAGAAATCCCTCCTAATCCTTCTCCTCGTGCACAAAAGTTAATCCACTATTATTAACCTAATCCCCACCAATTAATTAACTTTCCAGCAGATCAATCAGAATCCCAAAAGCAAACGGTAAAAAAGAAAGCAAATTAGCACCACAATTAACCCATCATTCGGTCAAAATTAGCCAAAACAAATAAAGCAAACAAGATAGAAACGACAGTTAAATCAATCAAAAAAACTCGAGCATTTTCAAGCATGCCAAAAGGGGGATGATGCATTACCCACTGTGAGTCTCGATAGCCTCGAGCTGCCTCAAAGCAATCCAAAACCAGAACGTAATCATATGACCCGGCACAATCGCGGGCCCCAAAAAGGACGGAATTCCGAGTATCAAAATCTCCGCCCAGTGAGCGTAAGGCGCTGCAAAACCGATCGGGGCGGTGTACTCGTGGTGCACCCGGTGGATTTTATCGTACCCCCATTTGCAATGCAGAAATCTGTGGATCCAATAGTTCCCGTAGTCCTCAACGATGAAATACGTGCATAGTTGCAATACGATTTCCCACAGTGGAGGCAAAGGTAAGCTTGTTCTTATCCCAATGAACTTCACAAAAAAACAAAAAATAAATAAATAAATAACAAACAGATCTAAATTGAATCAAAACCTAATTTAATTCAAACGAATGGAAATTATTCCACATTGAATCAAATTTTTTGCACAACAAAAAAAAAATTAAAACATGAAATTCATCTTTCAATTCGACGAATGGAAAAGCAAATTGACGGAAATGAGATTGAATTGCACCTTGATTGAGGGGTAGGAGACGAGCTGAAGGGGGCCGACGACGAGGAAGAACATGCGCATGACGGATTTGTAGCAGTGGAGGGTTTCGGAGAAGGAGAGCTTGACTTTGGGCTGAATCTTGTACGGGGAGACGGATTTCTCGAAGAAGAATTCGAGGAAGAGGAAGAAGAAGGGGACGACGGAGAAGAGGATGAAGAGGAAGACGATGTTGTGGCAGTAGAGGAGGTAGTCCGATTTGGTGGCGGAGTAATTGAACCATAGGGTTTCCGCCGCCGTGAGGGATCTGCCGATGACGGATTCCGCCTCTTCGACGGTGGCGTAAGGCAACATTGGCGGCGGTGGGGGGGGGGGGGGGGAAGGGGTCAGTAGTGTGTGTGTGTGTGTGTGTGTGGTTGATTCAGTGTGTGTATGTGTGTGTGTGGGTTTTTGTGTACCACTCTGTCAGATAGTTTGTTATTATGTATGTATATATAATATATATATATATATGTATATATAATAAAATATATGCGGGAAATAAGAAGAGGTGGGGAATATTCAAAACGGCTGCGTGTTGATGGTGGCGTTGGTGGAGGACAAGTCTTGTTATAATCACACACTAGTTTTTTAACAGACTTTTTTTTTTTCCTTCTCATAATCACTTTTTAAATTGCTTCAGCTTGAAATATCAGCTTTTGCTTCTATTTCATTTTTTTTAAATACTACCGTAAAACTTCTCTTAAAATAAATTTTGAAAGCTTTTTTTTCATGGAATTTGAAAAAACTGAGACTTTTGGAAATAAAGTTATAAACACATAGGTAGTGTTTGTAAAAGCTTTTAAAAAAGCAGAAGTTGGTGATTATAAGTTAAGTTAATGATAAGACAACTTATTATATGAGAAGTTCATCAAGTAGTGGTTTTTTTTTTTTTTTTTTTTTTTTTTTTTTGCTAAAACAACTTATTTTAAAAGAAAAAAAGACGCAAAAACTGATATTGCAAAGATTTGAAAACTTATTCCGACAAAAAAAACTTAGAATCACTTTTCAAAGGCTATTGCTGATATCACTTTATTTTCATTTAATTTATGATCACCAACTTCTGAGTTTTTTAAACTTTTGGATTACTAAATAAAAAGTGCGACGAGTTTAATTTAGAAAATATTGGCAATGAAAAATGAGACTTAAAAATACTGTTGCAATATTTAGCAAACTTGGGATAGACTGCCAAACATTTTGGTAATATATCTCAAGTATTTATAATTTCTATCAAATATACATGTCTAGTGTGTTTTGATTCCACGTCACGTCTTGCAATTCCTTTATCACTTCTAATTCCTCGCATGGGTAATACTTGCGTCATAAAAAAATGTTAGGGCGTCGAAGATTGATCCCGACAGACATTCTTTTACGCTCAAGCCAACTTTATATGATAAAAGAATTCAGAGAATTCAAAACACTGAATTGCATATTTTTATAAGTATTTATATAGAAAAATATACTCTCATAAATCTCTTGACATAACCCGACTATTTAGATTACGACAAACTTGAACCTTCGTCGTCATGGGCCTTTAGGCATGGCCCACCATTCACAAAGAAAAGTTGTACCAAATACAAAATGGGACAAATTTGTTTAAATAGAATATTCCAAGTGAAGTGTTTAGTGTACATAAAACATGGAGAGTGGATGTGATTAATTTGGTGCTTTGTTCTTTTTATGTAATTAAATTTTCAAATGTGGATACAGTTCATAAACAATGTAACATTCGAAGCAAAAAATTGAGACCAATGTCTTGGAAATAGCAATTGTTTCGAAAATTTGATATCCACGAGTACCAAAGTATATAAATTAAATGTATCACTCCAAAATAACAATAAAAATCAAATACAACGTTTTGCTATATCTTATGTTTTTTTATAATTTCATAGTTCGAAAATAATGTATTTTCATTTTTTTTTAAATTAATAATTTAGCACGTTCTCATCGAGTAGGGATCGGGAGAAATTATAACTTAAGTGAGATTATTAATTTACAAATATTAATTTATCGAGTTTCTACTATACTTATTAGAGAAGGTACAAAGTCATGTTAAGATATCAGTCTCAAGCTATGGAACACGAATACGAAAACGGCGATACTAAAAAATGGGGAAATGATATGTCCTAAACACGGAGATACGGGAATTTGAGAGAACATGTAAATTTTAAAAGTATAAGGGTATATTCATAAATATGCTCTAAACACATATATAAGTTTTTATTTATATATAAATTCTTTTTATGTATTTTCATACTAACATATTTAAAATAAATATTATTATTAACTATCAATTTGCAATTTGCAATTGATCATTAAATCATGTAAATAATTAAAGAATCAACAAAAATATTTAAAAATTCAGTAGTCCGAATATGTTTCTAACTTGTAAGAAATTGCACTCATAAGATGTTCTGCACGTGTCCTCGGGTGTCGGACACGAAACGTATACGATACACGCAACACGAAAACGTTAAAAACTTGAATTTTCCGTACTACATAGATCTCAAGTCGTTATTATTTCTAGAAAAAATTTCCCTTTTTTTTGTCCTTAAAAAAACAAATCAATTTCTGAAACTAACAACCAAGAAACGACTTGAACTCAAAATAAAATCTTAAATTGGAATATCATGTTATATTATGCCCATAATAATAAAAGAAATTATTATTAATTCCACCATAAAATAAAATAAATAAATAGCCAAATTCATGATGACATAACATTGAGCTCAAAGAGGGGAAAAAAAAAAAGATGAAATATCAATTTACCGATGCAGCTTTCATTAATTGACTGCACTATGAAATTATGATTACCCCTTTTCAAATAGAAAAATAGTGAATACGTTTCCCACTACATATAGTGACTGAACAAATAGCACCAAATGATGAATCACATGTCACTTACAAAAGTAAAATCATAAGTATATACAAATTTTTATATAATTTAATTTAATGTTTTCATTTTAAATTTAATGTCTTCTCTTATAAGATTATGAAAGTTGATGGTTGTGGTATATATATATATATATATATATATATATATATATATATATATATATATATATATATATATATATATATATATATATATA